ACAGAACCAGAATGTTTCTCAGGGACACAGAATTGTTACTCAGGGACACAGAATTGTTACTCAGGGAACAGAATTGTTACTCAGGGACACAGAGGACGTTACTCTGGAGGGACACAGAATTGTTACTCAGAGGGCCACAGAATTGTTACTTAGGGACACAGTGAATTGTGTTACTTAGGGACGGTCTACAGACAGGGAACAGAATTGTCTACTGACCAGACGCCACAGAATTGTTATCAGGGGCTACAGAATTGTTACGGGGCCACAGAAATGTGTTACTTAGGAGCCACAGAATTGTTAATCAGGTCATGCTTGTTGGTGCTTGGTGTTCAGGGACAAGAATTGTTATCAGGGCCACAGAATTGTTACTCAGTGGGACACAGAATTGTTACTCTTGCCACAGAATTGTTACTTCAGGGGCCACAGAATTGTTACTCAGGGACACAGGAGAACAGTTACTGCAGGGACAGAGAATTGTTACTTGGGCATGCACAGAATTGTTTTAGGACAGACACAGAATTGTTACTGAGGGACAGTCAGAATTGTTTAAGGGACACAGAATTGTTACTTGGGAGGGACACAGAATTGTTACTCAGGGACACAGAACTGTTACTCAGGACACACAGTGCTTAGAGGGGTCTTAAACAGAATTGTCTTAACTGTGAGGGACACAGAATTGTTACTGAGACCCAGAAGGTCGTTACTGAGGGAAGTACACAGAATAGTTACTCAGGAGAAGGAAAGATTGTTACTCAGGGGACACAAGAATTGTTACTCAGGACACAGAATCGTACTTGGTATGACAAGAGTTGTCATTAAAGAGTAGTGTTGGCAGAGAGAGGCAATGTTTTCTAGGGAGTTCCAGGAGCAGACTTAGTGGCAGCAGATGGAAGGGGTCGAGGCAGCACTAAGTAGGTCAGGAGAGTTAGGCAGTGAGTGGGATGTTCATCCAGCGAGGTTGTTCGTTTACAGACAACCCTGCCGTCATCGTTGAATTGGCTGGTCGTCTTCCTCTTCCCTAGGTCCTCTGACACCTACAGCAACGTCGGTGGTACGTCAGACACAACCCGTTAGTACTGTGGGCCAGCGAGAGGTGGTCGAGGCAGACTTTCAGTACAGAAGGTTTCCGTCTACCTGGGCCCAGTTTTCTAGGTGGGACCAAGCGGTATCGCATGCTGTAGGGCTCAGCCCCACTGAGCGTGAGGTAAGAGCTAAACAGAGGGCGTAGGAACGGGGGGAGACATGACTGCGCTCTTCAGCAGCCAGGTCCCAGAAGACTGAAGAAGTAGTGAGTGGCTTAGAGAGGAGAGTGGCTCAGGTAGCGGTCTAGAGAAGGTTAGTTCCTGACTGACCACAGTATGCAGTTGAGGAGAGGTCTAGTAGTGAGGCGGAGACCAGTTAATTGATTGAAACAGTGGGATGTGAGCCAGAGCCCTGATCGCACTTGGCTGCCTCGTCGTCATCAGGCAATTATTTCCGCATCTCATCAGAGAGGAAGAGGTGCAGCTTGGCAGCGAGCGAAACAGTCGGTGGGTTGCCCAGGAGAGCAGCAAAGGGTCGCAGCAAGTTGTCAGTGGAGCAAAACGGCCACGGAAGTAGAGCACCAGCTCCACTGCAGCCTGCCACCACGGCAGTAGTGGTGCCGGTGTGCAGGGAGGAAGTAGCAGTCAGCCAGTGAGGAGAGTATGGGGGCAAAGTTTCCTACTCGGCCGGTGTGGGCAATTTTTTGTCAAGCCGACCTGAGGAAAGTAAACGTAGCCGTATGTCGACTATGTGGCCAGAAATGTCAAGCGTGGCCAGGGGGCCCATGTTGGGACTACAGCGTTGCGTCAGCATATGCAGCGTCACCATTCGGTGGCCTGGGAAAACCGTGATAAAGATACGGCGGTTCTGCCTGCCCCAGCCCCCGCTCCATCACCCGCTCCGTTACTTGCTCCGTCACCCGACGTCGTCAATCCCCCTCTATCAGCCAGTCAAGGCTCCAACACCTCTGCTGAGGGGAGTTGTCGCTCGTTGGCATCTTCCGCTCGTTCAGATGCTCCTTCTCCTGCTACTCCTCTTCACGGATTCCGTCAGCAGTCTTTCTTGGAATCCGTTTCCAAGAGACAACAGTTTGCGAGCACGCACCCGACGGTGCAAAAGCTGAACGTCCTCCTGTCCAAGTTGCTGGTGCTGCAGTCCCTCCCTTTCCAAGTGGTGGACTCAGCACCTTTCCGAGAAATGATGGCTTGTGCCGCGCCGCGGTGGAGAGTGCCAAGCCGTCATTTCTTCGCCATAAAGGCAGTGCCAGCCCTGCATTCACATGTAGAAGAGATGGTGGGCCAGTCTTTGAGCATGTCGGTCTCTGCCAAAGTGCACGGCAGCGCCGACGTGTGGAGCTGTAACTACGGTCAGGGACAGTACATGTCATTTACGGCCCACTGGGTGAACGTGGTGCCGGCACAGCCGCACCAGCAACTTGGACAGGTCACGACGCTTTTGTGCCTCCACGTTTGCACGTCCTTGGTCCAGCAAACATGTCCGCCTCTACCACCTCTTTTTCCGCCGTGTCCTCAGCCGCCACCCCCGTGCCAAGTCCCATTACCCGACCGGCATATCACATGTGCAGGGCGCAACGGTGTCACGCTGTGCTGCACCTGGTATGCCTTGGCGAACGTAGTCACACAGGGGAGGAACTTCTGAGTGTAATGAACAGAGAAATCGACAGATGGCTGTCTCCGCGCAAACTGAAAATCGGAACCATGTTGACCGACAACGGAAAGAACATGGTGTCTGCTCTGCGTCAAGGAAGGTTGTGCCATGCGCCATGCATGGCTCACGTGTTCAATTGGTTGTCAAGCGGTTCCTAAAATCCACCATCCCACTGCAAGACATCCTTAAATGTCACGTAAACTTGCATGCATTTCAGCCATTCCTACACCGCAAAGAACACCTCATTGAGCTGCAGCGGCAGAACGGAATTCCACAGCATCGCCTGATCTGCGACGTTGCAACAAGGTGGAATTCAACCCTACACATGTTAGACCGCCTTTACGAGCAGCGAAAGGCCATCACGATTTCCTGATGTTACAAGCGGATAAAGGTACCCCTGTGTAACTTCGATGTCAGCCATTGGCAGCTCATGCGTGACACCTGCCGCTTGCTCAGGCCCTTTGAGGAGGCCACGCTATTCGTGAGTCGGCAGGACTATGGGATGAACGACGTCATTCCTCTGTTGCACGTCCTGGAACAAATGCTGTTAACAATGGCTGGTCAGGGTGCGGTAGACGTGGCGCACAGATCTCAACGCCACATGACCCCTGTGGGGGCAGGACAGGAAGAAGAGGAGGAGGTAGAGGAGGACATTTGTGCTCAGGAATTATTGAGTGAAATGGGTGGTTTTTCCACTCAGCGGACAGGAGTGGAGGAGCAGGAGCATCTGGTAGAGGAGGAGGAGGAGGAGGAGACAGAGGACCCAGACGCACCGTGGCAGTATGCTGTGGAGATGGAGGCAGGGAGTCCCTCGCATTCCTTGGCACAAATGGCCCATAGCATGCTCGGTTGCTTGCGTAGCGACAGCCGAATAATAACCATCAGACAGAGGGATGACTTTTGGCTGTCCACCTTGTTGGACCCTCGCTATCGTTCCAAAATGGTGGCCTTTTTCACACCTGCTGAGAGGGAGGCCAAAATTACGTACTATAAAAAACCACCTATGTAGTCAGTTGGTCTCTGCCTTTGTGCGCCAACGTCCATCCTCAGACACTGTGGGCCCTGTGCGCTCGCGTTCCGCTGCCATGGCAGCAGGGGAGGGGTGGGGTGGTAGGAGCAGTGGCAGCTCCACCAGCAGCGGCTGCCTCAGTCTGCAGTCGATGATGAGTAGCTTTCTTCACCAGCGCAGTGAGGAAACTACTAACCAGCCGCAGCAGCAGCAGCAGCATCAGGTGGACCTGGAGCAGGAGCTCAAACAACAGGCTTGGGCCTACTTGGACAGCACCCTGCCAACCGAGGTAGACAATCCCCTTGACTACTGGGCAACGAAACTTGACCTTTGGCCCCAACTAGCTGAATTTGCCCTTGAAAGGCTGTCATGCCCGGCCAGTAGCGTGGCATCGGAGCGCGTGTTTAGTGCGGCGGCAGGAGGTATTGTAACCGCGGAGGACACGACTGTCCACCCAAAGTGTGGAGAGACTCACGTTTGTGAAAATGAATCAGGCGTGGATTAGTCTGGATTTCAAACCACCAGTTCCTGACACAACTGACTAAATCCGCCATGAATCATGCCCCTGCCATGTGCCACTTTCAGGTCTCTCCTCACACACTGCTGGTGTGTTCCATTTTTTGTCAGATAGGGTGCTGGCAGGCCCTATTGCCACGGGCCTCCCATGCTGCTGCCAGGTTGCTGCTGTCTCCATCTGCCACACTCTGCCATGTGCCACATTCAGGTCTCTTCACACTGCTGTTGTGTTGAATTTTTTGACATAGGGTGCTGGCAGATTACGGGCCTCCCATAGCTGCTGCCAGGCCCCTAATCTGCCATGGGCCCCTATATACCGCCTCCTCATGCTGCTGCCAAGTCCAGAGTCTCTCATGGGTCCCTGTACGGCCTCCCATTGCTGCTGTCTCCATCGCCACACTCTGCCATGTGCCACACTTTCAGGTCTCTTCACACACTGCTGGTTGTGTTGAATTTTTTGACATAGGGTGCTGGCAGATTACGGGCCTCCCATAGCTGCTGCCAGGCCCCTAATCTGCCATGGGCCCCTATATACCGCCTCCTCATGCTGCTGCCAAGTCCAGAGTCTCTCATGGGTCCCTGTACGGCCTCCCATTGCTGCTGTCTCCATCGCCACACTCTGCCATGTGCCACATTTCAGGTCTCTCACACTGCTGTTGTGTTGAATTTTTTGACATAGGGTGCTGGCAGATTACGGGCCTCCCATAGCTGCTGCCAGGCCCCTAATCTGCCATGGGCCCCTATATACCGCCTCCTCATGCTGCTGCCAAGTCCAGAGTCTCTCATGGGTCCCTGTACGGCCTCCCATTGCTGCTGTCTCCATCGCCACACTCTGCCATGTGCCACTTTCAGGTCTCCTCACACACTGCTGTTGTGTTTCATTTTTTGACATAGGGTGCTGGCAGATTACGGGCCTCCCATTGCTGCTGCCAGGCCCGTAATCTGCCATGGGCCCCCGTACCGACTCCTCATGCTGTGCCACGTTTTGCAACAAGGTGTAATTCAACCCTCCATATGTTAGACCGCCTTTACGAACAGCGAAAGGCCATCACAGATTTCCTGATGTTAAAAGCGGGCCTAAAGGTACTCTCCTGTGTAACTTAGATGTCAGCCATTGGCAGCTCATGCGTGACACCTGCGTTGCTCAGGCCCTTTGAGGAGGCCACGCTATTCGTGAGTCGGCAGGATATGGGATGAACGAGCTCAATCTGCCATGGGCCCCCGTACGCCTGGTCACGCTGCTGCTGGTCCCACAGTGTGACTCATGGGTCCCTGTACGGCCTCCATTGCTTGTCTCCATCGCCATCTGCCATGTGCACTTTGAGGTCTCCTCACACCTGCTGGTTTTCCATTTTTGACATAGGTTGCTGGCAGATTACAGGCCTCCATAGGTGCTGCCAGGCCCCAAATCGGCCATGGGCCCCCGTACCGCCTGGTCACATGCTGCTGCTGGCCCACAGTGTGACCTGGGTCCCTGTACGGCCTCCCATTGCTTCCATCGTCCCCCACTCTGCCATGTGCCACTTTGAGGTCTCCTCACACTCCTGTGCTTTTCCATTTTGACATAGGTTGCTGGCAGATTACAGGCCTCCCATAGGTGCTGCCAGGCCCCAAATCGGCCATGGGCCCCCGTACCGCCTGGTCACGTACTGCTGCTGGTCCCACAGTGTGACCATGGGTCCCTGTACGGCCTCCCATTGCTTCCACTCTGCCATGTGCCACTTTGAGGTCTCCTCACACTCTGCAGGTTTTAATTTTTGACATAGGTTGCTGGCAGATTACAGGCCTATCCCATAGGTGCCGCCAGGCCCCAAATCTGCCATGGGCCCCCGTACCGCCTGGTCACGCTGCTGCTGAGCCCACAGTGTGACCTGGGTCCCTGTACGGCCTCCCATTGCTTCCACTCTGCCATGTGCCACTTTGAGGTCTCCTCACACTCCTGTGGTTTTCCATTTTGTCATAGGTTGCTGGCAGATTACAGGCCTTCCATAGGTGCCGCCAGGCCCCAAATCGGCCATGGGCCTCCGTACCGCCTGGTCACGCTGCTGCTGGTCCACAGTGTGACCTGGGTCCCTGTACGGCCTCCCATTGCTTCCACTCTGCCATGTGCCACTTTGAGGTCTCCTCACACTCCTGTGCTTTTCCATTTTGACATAGGTTGCTGGCAGATTACAGGCCTCCCATAGGTGCCCGCCAGGCCCCAAATCGGCCATGGGCCCCCCGTACCGCCTGGTCACGCTGCTGCTGAGCCCACAGTGTGACCTGGGTCCCTGTACGGCCTCCCATTGCTTCCACTTGCCATGTGCCACTTTGAGGTCTCCTCACACTCCTGTGCTTTTCCATTTTGACATAGGTTGCTGGCAGATTACAGGCCTCCCATAGGTGCCGCCAGGCCCCAAATCGGCCATGGGCCCCCGTACGCCTGGTCACGCTGCTGCTGGAGCCCACAGTGTGACCTGGGTCCCTGTACGGCCTCCCCATTGCTTCCACTCTGCCATGTGCCACTTTGAGGTCTCCTCACACTCCTGTGCTTTTCCATTTTTGACATAGGTTGCTGGCAGATTACAGGCCTCCCATAGGTGCCGCCAGGCCCAAATCGGCCATGGGCCCCCGTACCGCCTGGTCACGCTGCTGCTGAGCCCACAGTGTGACCTGGGTCCCTGTACGGCCTCCCATTGCTTCCACTCTGCCATGTGCCACTTTGAGGTCTCCTCACACTCCTGTGCTTTTCCATTTTGACATAGGTTGCTGGCAGATTACAGGCCTTCATAGGTGCCGCCAGGCCCCAAATCGCCATGGGCCCCCGTACCGCTTGGTCATGCTGCTGCTGGTCCCACAGTGTGACGTGGGTCCCTGTACGGCCTCCCATTGCTTCCACTCTGCCATGTGCCACTTTGAGGTCTCCTCACACTCCTGTGCTTTTCCATTTTGACATAGGTTGCTGGCAGATTACAGGCCTTCCATAGGTGCCGCCAGGCCCCAAATCGGCCATGGGCCCCCGTACCCGCCTGGTCACGCTGCTGCTGGTCCCACAGTGTGACCTGGGTCCCTGTACGGCCTCCCATTGCTTCCACTCTGCCATGTGTCACTTTCAGGTCTCCTCACACTCAATGCTGTTGTGTTGAATTTTTTGACATAGGGTTGCTGGCAGATTACGGGCCATAGCTGATGCTAGGCCCCTAATCTGCCATGGGCCCCTATATACCGCCTCCTCATGCTGCTGCCAAGTCCAGAGTCTCTCATGGGTCCCTGTACGGCCTCCATTGCTGCTGCCAGGAGGGTCTCAGCAGGGTCGCAGCAGTTTGTCAGGGGAGGCAAAACGGCCACGGAGTAGTGCACCAGCTCCCTGCAAGCCTACCACCCACGGCCAGTAGTGGTGCCGGTGTGCACGGAGGAAGTATCAGTCAGCCTAGTGAGGAGTAGCGGGGCAAAGTTTCCTACTCGGCTGGTGTGGCAATTTTTCGTCAAGCCGCCCGAGGAAGTAAAGTAGCCGTATGTCGACTATGTGGCCAGAAAGTCAAATGCGTGGCCAGGGGGCCATGTTGGGACTACAGCGTTGCGTCAGCATATGCAGCGTCGCCATTCGGTGGCCTGGGAAAACCGTGATAAAGTGATACGGCGGTTCCTGCCTGCCCCAGCCCGGGTTTCCATTTTGTCATAGGGTGCTGGAGATTACGGGCTCCCCATAGGTGCCGCCAGGCCCCAAATCGGCCATGGGCCCCCGTACCGCCTGGTGTCACACTGCTGCTGAGCCCACAGTGTGACCTGGGTCCCTGTACGGCCTCCCATTGCTTCCACTCTGCCATGTGCCACTTTGAGGTCTCCTCTCACACTCCTGCGTTTTTTACATTTTGACTCATAGGTTGCTGGCAGATTACAGGCCTACCATAGGTGCCACCAGGCCCCAAATCGGCCATGGGCCCCCGTACCGCCTGGTCACGCTGCTGCTGAGACCCCACAGTGTGACCTGGGTCCCTGTACGGCCTCCCATTGCTTCCACTCTGCCATGTGCCACTTTGAGGTCTCCTCACACTCCTGCGGTTTTACATTTTGACATTGGTTGCTGGCAGATTACAGGCCTACCATAGGTGCCGCCGCAAAGCCCCAAATGGCCATGGGCCCCCGTACCCGCCTGGGTCACGCTGCTGATGAGCCCACAGTGTGACCTGGGTCCCTGTACCGCCTCCATTGCTCCCACTCTGCCATGTGCCACTTTCAGGTCTCCTCACACTCCTGCTGGTTTCCATTTTGTCATAGGTTGCTGTATGGCCTCCATTGCTGCTGCCTCCACCGCCACACTGTGGCTCCAAACACTGGTTTTGGCCCCGTGACTGGCCAAATGAGTGAAAACTGTGCGGTGATTCTAAGATCGACGGCACTCATCTGCATGTCATACTGACTGACAGTATTATTTCTCTTCCCCAGCAGACTCCAAGGGCATTTAAATTAAAGGTACAGTGTTCTGCACTAATATTAAGTCTCTCTGAAGCCTAGAAACACCCTTTTTTAAGTTAAATTCACAGCGAATATATTTCGACTCGAATCGAATAATTGTCCACGAATTCGCCGAATCAGTCGAATCAAATTTTTCAATTCTTCGCTCATCTCTAATTATTATGCGTATATATATACAGGTGAAACTCGAAAAATCTTAGGAATATCATGCAAAAGTTGATTTATTTCAGTGCAGCAACTTAAATGGTGAAACTAATAATATGAGATAGACTCATTACATACAAAGCAAGATAGTTCAAGCCGTGATTTGTCATCATTGTGATGATTATGGGCTTACAGCTCATGAAAACCCCAAATCCACAATCTCAGAAAATGAGAATATTGTGAAAAGGTGGAATATTCTCGGCTCAAAGTGTCCCACTCTAATCAGCTAATTAAGCCATAACACCTGCAAAGGGTTCCTGAGCCTTTTAAATGGTCTCCCAGTCTGGTTTAGTAGGAATCACAATCATGGGAAAGACTGCTGACCTGACAGTTGTGCAGAAAACCATCCATTGACACCCCTCCATAAGGAGGGAAATCCTCAAAAGGTAATTGCAAAAGAAGTTGGATGTTCCCAAAGTGCTGTATTAAAGCACATTAAATAGAAAGTTATGTGGAAGGGAAAAGTGTGGAAGAAAAAGGTGCACAAGCAGCAGGGATGACCTCAGCCTGGATAGGATTGTCAGGAAAAGGCCATTCAAAAGTGTTGGGGACTTCACAAGGAGTGGACTGAGGGCTGGAGTCAGTGCATCAAGAGCCACCACAACGACAGGAGAGGATCCTGGACATGGGCTTCAAATGGTCGTATTCCTCTTGTCCAGCTGCTCCTGAACAACAAACAACGTCAGAAAAAAGCGTCTTACCTGGGCTAAAGAAAAACAGACCTGGTCTGTTGCTCAGTGTCCAAAGTCCTCTTTTCTGATGAGAGCAACTTTTGCATCTCATTTTGGAAATCCAAGGACCCCCCCCCAAGAGTAATGGAGGAAGAATGGAGAGGGCCCAAGGACCCTGAGTATGGAGGAAGAATGGAGAGGCAAGGACCCCGAGTATTGGAGGAAGAATGGAGAGGCACAAGGACCCAGAGTATGGAGGAAGAATGGAGAGGCACAAGGACCCCGCGTATGGAGAAAGAATGGAGAGGCCCAAGGACCCCGAGTATGGAGGACGAATGGAGGAGGCACCACACTGCAAGATGATTGAAGTCCGTGTGAAAGTTTCCACAGTCTGTGTTTGATTTGGGGTGCCAATGTCATTGCGTGGTGTTGGTCCACTGTGCTTCATTTTTTTTTTTTAAGGAGGGGGGTCCAGGCAAATGCATGAGCCGTCTACAGGAGATTTGGAGCACTTCATAGTTTCCCTTCCGCAGACGAGCTTTATGGGGATGCTGACTTCATTTTCCAGCAGGACTTGGCACTGCCCACACTGCCAAAAGCGCCAAAACCTGGTTCAATGACCCGTGGGATTACTGTGCTTGATTTGGCCAGTAAACTCGCTCCTGACTGAACCCCATAGTGAGAATATTTGTGTAACCCCCCCCCCATTATATAATATGGGGCATTTCCAAGAGAAAGATAAGAGACATGATACCGATACAATGCAGAAGAGGCTGAAGGCTGCTATTGAATGCATCCTGGTCTTCATAACACTTCAGCAGTGCCACAGACTGATAGCTTCCATGCCACGCCGCATCCGAGCAGTAATTGCTGCAAAAGGGGGCCCAAACCAAGTACTGAGTACATATGCAGCTTCTACTTTTCAGAGGTCCGATATTTGTTCTATGTACAATCCGTGTTTTTATTGGATTGCATGGAATATTCTCATTTTCTGATTTGTGGATTTGGGTTTTTCATGAGCTGTAAGCCATAATCATCACAAAACTGTATAAGCAATGATGGGTGTAGCCTGTTCTAAAGAAACACTATAAAATTGTGAACTGTAATCAAACTTAATCAGAGCACTAGGTGTCCAGAGGACGTGCTCTCATAACAGCTGTATCTTCACCAATAAATATATATAATTGGGAGCAGTCTCATGCTGACGGTTGATTATTTTCAGGGAGTGAAACTCAAAATTGCATTCATTTCATTAATGGTGCCGGTTGCTTGGATCTAGCAAAAGCAAGGGTCACTGCATACCTCCACAGGTCACAACTAACGGACAAACAAAAGGCCTACGGTGGGTTTATCACATAAAAAAGTTGCCTGTGCTTTAGGGGAGTGGAGAGTGTGTAGTGATCCAGTTGCTAAAACGCCCATGATATTGAAGGGACACAGATAGCATATGTAAATATTTTAATTGTAGTATCTGTTTTAGGCGGACAGTGGCTTAGTGTGTTAGCATGTCTACCGTTGAGTAAATGGGTCATATGGGTTTAGATTCCTGACCATGGTGCTCCTGCATGGACTTTGCATGTTCTGTCTGTGTTTGTGTGGGTTTCCTCCCACAACTATTCCAAGACATGCTGCTGGGTAGGATAATTGGCTCCTGTCTAAAATTTTGTCTAGTTTTTCAACCATGGCCATGTAGGATCTCCTGCATGGTGGGGGTTGGGGAGAGACTGGCAACCTATACTGTAAAAATTAATTGCTTAAGAGAATTCATGGAAAAAGTTACTTACGAGTGACGGTCCATGCATATCACCAACAGTTAGGTATGACCAGGGGGAGAACTGACAACTCATGGGGCCCCTGGGCATTAGGGGACCATGGGGCCCCTGTGTTCCTAGCCACACACTCAAATAAGCCTATTAAAAAGATATGGGGCGTAGGGCGTTTCATGGAACCCCTACTGGTGACCCTGGGACATTGGGCCAGTGCTAGGAATGGTCAGTCGCCCCTGGGTTATGATCAGAAATGGATAGATACTATCTGTTAATTCGTTACCTGTGTTGTTATTGGTTCTGTTTGTGCCTTTTCCTTACCATAACCTTGCGGTAGGAGAGGGAATCAGTACAGGCTCTGATTAGCAGAGACTGTAAGCCCTTATGGGCAGAAGAACGGTCATTGCTATTTTCAGCTGGTGGACTGCCAATGGGTAGAAGGGCTATGATTGGTTGAGTGATTGATGGGGAAAGATGTGGTTGTGGTAAGTGACCCTCTTGCTAAGCAGATGAGAGAGAGATAAAATAACAAACAAATATAAAGGCAGAGTAACTTGTCTAAATCTTCTTCCTTTCCATCTGTCTGTTCTGTTTTATAATCTTTACTATCAAGTTTCACTTCATTTCTCACTGACTTATGACGCCTTTCCTCCCACCTGAATCACTTTGGGCTAAAACTATAGGAACAGGAAGGTGTTTACTGGGGTGCCTCCTGAGCACAAGTTTGCGTACCTTGATGCTCCCAAGGTCCTGCGGACCACCTCGGTAGGCACGGGCCACAATTCTTTAATCTTTCAGACTCAGCAAGATTTAGAAAGTGCCAAGCTCCCCGGGGCAGGGACGTCAAAAAAGCATAGTCAGGGTATCGCAGTGGGCTTAAAGCCCCCGTTTGGGATCCCTGCCCTGTCTGTCCTTTCCCCATATACCTCCCCGTGATCTATATTTTCTTTCCTTTAAAATTTTAAGTGTTAAAATAAAAATAATGCAAAAAAAGGC